AAAAAAAAAAAAAAAAAAAAAAAAAAAAAAAAAAAAAAAAAAAAAAAAAAAAAAAAACTGAAAACCAAGCCTTCCAGAGTAAGCCATGTATTATTATTACTCTATCACGCTGGACTGTGCCTCTCCCTAATTCCCAGTCTCGGTTTCTTCAATCATGAGATCGGATTGTCCTCTCCGCCTGTGTTACCAATATTCTAGCATTAATGTATAAGAGATTGTTAACTACAAAGCAAATCAAGGATTTCAAGAACCTGCAGAATGTGGTGGAAACAGTCTCGTAAAATGTAGTATTCCCAGTTAACCTTCTTGTAGGCTTCATTGCAACTGCAAGCAATTAATAATACGAAGATTTTATTCCCTTGAGATACGCCGAAATCAACGTACGACGCTCTTACCGCTCGACGTCGCTGGTCCCGCAAAAGCGTTGCAGCTCTGCACAAGCTTCTGCCACTCGCTTTCCACCAAGGCTGTTAGGTTGTTACACATCACCATCCGTTAATTCCGCTCTATTTTTCGTACAGATCTTTATGAAAACAACATTATTCATGCTAATCACAGAGTTCTTTTAAGAAATTGAAAAATGCCTCCTCTATTTATTCAATCCAAACAGGCTAATTATGATGATGGATCTAGATTCAACAAATTTTTAGGAACGATTTCTAGTGCAGAAATACGCGAGAAATTACTCCGATTCTCATAAACTAGAACGGAATTGAGTCAATTACCGAGCGGCGTTTCCCTTGATTTGTTCTATGATGGTTACCAAACCTTGAAAATCCACATTCTCGTTTTTCCTACAGGAAACAAAAGATTGAAATCGACGAGGAAAGTAGAACTACGCATCGATGAAATGCGAAATGTTTAGGGATCCGAATCGTTACAGAGATTTTTCGACTCTGTCGAGCTTTGGTTCGGCATCATCGCAAAATAGAGACAACATATTTCGATTATCGTATAAATTTCCAAGGCTACTGAAGTTTTCGTCAAGAAATCCCTGGATGAAACACGGAAACTCATCGTCTTAATCCGATTTTGAATTGAAGAACGGCGAAAGAAAAAAAAAACAAAAAAGGAAAGGAGGAACCGAAAAGAAAAAAAAAGAGAGAAAAACAGAGTTTGGATTGAAGAGGATGACCTGATCGCGCAAAGCATTGATGAACTTGTTGAGCATGTGTCTCTGAGGATGTTCGGCTTCCGACATAATTTATTTGATGGATCTATTCTTCTGAAATACATCACTATTTATAGTGAAAAATTACAGCTTCAAAATAGGTTTTTAAATTCAAAATTCAAAAATAATAAATAAATAATAGTTGAAATCTGTTACATAATCGTTGAAATCTTCATGTCTCATTGATCATTGAATTTTTTTTTTTTTAATTTTTTTATATATTAAAATTATCCTTTCTAATAGCTATTACTTATTCTATTTTTTCTGGTTTTAAAATAATTTTTAATAATTTTATTAAAACCTTCTCAAAAATAAAATATTTCTTTTTCTAATTTATTAGTGTAACATTTTATTTATGAGATTGAAGTAATTCGTTAATATAAATGGAAACGGTTATAACATAAAATTGAAATCAAATCAAGTACAAAATATAAGAACTTTGGGTTATTTTTTAATTAAAAAATTGAAATAAATGCAAACTATATGAATAATAATAATGATAATTTATTTACTTGTTAAATAGAATAAAATTCGAATTTTACAAAGAATGAGTAAATAGATACAAAAGTTATAAAAAGGAGAGACCATTAATAACCTACATGATAGGGTAGGAGAATTACATTCCTAATAAGTATTTGTGTTACTCGCGTAAATACGTTGGCCTGTCCGAAATAATTAGAGGGTTTATAAGGTTACTCACGGAAATACCTTGGCATGGCCGAAAATACGTTGGCTGGCCGAAATAGTTAGAGGGTGTGAATGTTTGATTAATCCACCACACCTAAATGATGTGAAAGTTATCTTATTTATAATCAAATAAATTACAAGGATATGGAAATAGTAATAAATGAAAATAACAATAAATGGAAAGATACCTATGATAATAAGGCAAATATTAGATATTTGCCTTATAATAAAATATCAAATATATATGGTAAACTATAATTTATTACTAAATATCCTTAACACCTCACCACAAGCTAAGCGTCGAATTTAAACGAACGTGAAGCTTGAATCTGAAAAATTCAAAGAGGTTGAGAAACACTTTTCATGAAGATGCTAACAACCCGGTTCTTGGCCATCAAAAATTGTAGAGGGATCGCCGCTCAGCGGCGATGCTGCCTTGGATTCGACGAGAATATGTCTAACCCATGAAGAGGAATTGTCGCTTAGCGACGATGCTGGCTTGGCTCTGGTGAGAATATTTCTAACCCCAAGAAGTAGAAGGGAAACCTAGAGCAAGAGACAAAAACAATGTTGAAGTCGGAAGAGTCGCCAAAATTGGCGCCTCATCGGGCGAAGAAGCCAATTTTGGCAGGAAGGGCGGCGGCAACTTGGTTGGCGAATAGGCCAGTGCGGCACCCAGATTCTGAAGGTAAATCTCTGCAAAAGGTTGATAGGTTTAGGTTAGGGTTTATGTGAAGGATGAAGGTTGATTGGGAAGAAAATGAGAGAGACTATATTGGCCAAGGGGAAAACTGATTGGGTTGGAAAATGTGAGGTTGTATGTACAAAGTATGACGAAAGGTGATTTGGAGGTCAATAGGGTGGAGCCGAAGAGTAATCAATCGGCTCCGACTACGGCAGTCATGAAGACTGCCCCTGCGGCGTCAAAACCAGCAGGGGTGGTGGAGAAGAAGATTAGAGGATTCAAAAGCCATTGAAAAGAAAGGATCGGGGTTGTTAAACCGAAAGGGCTCTGATACCATGTAAATGTTTGATTAATCCACCACACCTAAATGATGTGAAAGTTATCTTATTTATAATCAAATAAATTACAAGGATATGGAAATAGTAATAAATGGAAATGACAATAAATGGAAAGATACGTGATAATAAGGCAAATATTAGATATTTGCCTCATAATAAAATATAAAATATATATGGTAAACTATAATTTATTACTAAATATCCTTACCATAGAGGGTTTATAAGGTTACTCACTGAAATACCTTGGCATGGCCGAAAATACGTTGGTCTGGCCGAAATAATTAGAGGGTTTATAAGATTACTCGCGGAAATACCTTGGCATGGCCGAAATAATTAGAGGGTTTAAATTAATCATTTTCAAAGGATTAGATGGTCTACCCGAACAAGTGTAGGTAACTCATTTTATAGAGGTGGAAATACGTTGGCCTGGCCGAAATAATTAGAGGGTATATAAGGTTACTCACGGAAATACCTTGGCATGGCCGAAAATACGTTAGCCTGGCCGAAATAATTAGAGGGTTTATAAGGTTACTCACTAAAATACCTTGTCATGGCCGAAAATACATTGGCCTGGCCGAAATAATTAGAGGGTTTAAATTAATCCTTTCCAAAGGATTAGATGGTCTACCCGAACAAGCGCAAGTAACTCATTTTATAGATTAATAATAATTTACGGGTTATTCATGGAAATACGTTGGCCTGAGGGTTTAAATTAATCTACAAAGAATTAGATGGTGGTAACATCATTGTTACTGCAAAGTATACGAACTAAGAAATGGAGGTGCTACGAACTATGAAATGAAGAGAAGTGATTAAATCTTAGTGTCCCCTCTTAACAAATGGAGATAAAGCCTAAGAAATGAAGTAAAGTGATACGAATAGAGTGATTAAATCTTAGTGTTTCTTTTATTCTTTTATTATAGTGTGGTAAACGAATTAAGAAATGGGACAGGGTGGTGATTAAATAGTGTCTCGAATTATTTGGACTTCAATTATATTCAATTATTATGTAAACGAATTAAGAAATGGGATCGGGATAGAGTGGTGATTAAATCTTAGTGTTTCTTTTATTCTTTTATTATAGTGTGGTAAACGAATTAAGAAATGGGACAGGGTGGTGATTAAATAGTGTCTCGAATTATTTGGACTTCAATTATATTCAATTATTATCTAAACGAATTAAGAAATGGGATAGGGTGGTGATTAAATGTTAGCGTCCCGAATCGAATTATTTAGACTTCAATTATATTCAAATGGGATAGGGTGGTGATTAAATGTTAGCGTCCCGAATCGAATTATTTAGACTTCAATTATATTCAATTATTATGTAAACGAATTAAGAAATGGGATCGGGATAGAGTGGTGATTAAATCTTAGTGTTTCTTTTATTCTTTTATTATAGTGTGGTAAACGAATTAAGAAATGGGACAGGGTGGTGATTAAATAGTGTCTCGAATTATTTGGACTTCAATTATATTCAATTATTATCTAAACGAATTAAGAAATGGGATAGGGTGGTGATTAAATGTTAGCGTCCCGAATCGAATTATTTAGACTTCAATTATATTCAATTATTATGTAAACGAATTAAGAAATGGGATCGGGATAGAGTGGTGATTAAATCTTAGTGTCCCGAATCAAATGATTTGGACTTCAATTATTATGTAAACGAATTAAGAAATGAGATCGGGATAGGGTGGTGATTAAATCTTAGTGTCCCGAATCAAATTATTTGGACTTCAATTATAGTTTTTTGTTTCATAGTTTTTGGTTTCGATTATATTCGGATAGAGTGGTGATTAAATGTGACCCGAATCAAATTATTTAGTTTTTGGTTATTTGAAAATATTGGAAGAAATGATTTTAGTTACAAAACATGTTTTTGGTTATTTGAAATACGGGAATAAATGATTTTAGTAATGTACCTATTACCAAATCATGCCCAAGAAATAATAATTTAGTTATAAATGGTTGACAAAACGTTGGTGTATTCCCACATCATGCTAATAATTGGTGTATTACCCAATCATGCCTTGAATTTAGGTATAGGTGCATTACCAAATCATGCAAATAATTGGTGTATTCTTAAATACACCTTGCCTCAAAATGACTGATCGTTAATGATAACTCTAATGAGTGATTTTGCTAGAATAGGCAATAATGAAGAGAAACAAGTGAATATGGATGAAGTTTTGTAATTAGTCCCATCACTTTAATTTGGTTTCCGAACATCAATAGTTGCATTTTCAAAACTCGGATTACCTTCAGACAAACCCGAGCGAAACCCGATCGAAAAAGAAAAACTAACATAAGATTAGTTTAGATAATGAAATATCAGAGAGAGAGAGAGAGAGAGAGTCCATTGGTATCCTACTTCATCCCATAAATACAAACAAATGAAACCCTTTATAATAATCTAGTCTACAATTCTGGGCTCGAGGGTTATGAGTGAATGATATGAACTATGGAGAGGAAGATGACTAGAAAACCAAGTAAACTTGTTCATGAAAATGACTCTGTTCTTTGGGTGAGACATCTGAAGAGAAAAAGAGAACCTTTCAGATTTCCACGCATCTTCGGAGGCTAAAATGAAGCCGGGGCGGGGCGGGGCGTTCCTTATACATAATATCTGGAAAAAAAACCTGCAGGATAATGAATTTTCAGGTTCTTACCATTCATAAAAACATCTGACATCTGAATGTACATTGACAATCCTAAGACCTATGAGAACAAAGATATATCGAGAATAAACGTGACAAAGGCTAAAATGCTAGATCTGCTCTATTTGAAAACACGATGAAGTTTGGTTTTTTTTAAAATTGTGTTCGTTTTCTCCCCATTTCTTTATAATGGTTTTCAAAGACAAATTTTTTAAAAATTACATATAAAAAAAAAATAAAGTATTTATAAGCTTAATTTTCAAAAATAAAAAATAAAAAATAAAAAACTAGATGGCAATCCAACGGGGCCTAATATTTCAACCAAACGATGCATCCAAATAATTAACCATTGCCCGTGGTTGAAACTTAAAAGTCAAAAGGACATGGACATGTATTTACCTGAACACAACATACGCAGGGATAGAGAGTCCTGAGCTTAGCTGTTGATAAGATGGTCTCGATATTCAAACGTCAAGGCTTCGGGACAGAGACATTTAAAATTTTCACATCTTGATAAGGCTTATCCGCTTTGTCTGTCTTCACTTTCTCAATTGTCTGTTAAAACCACAAGAATTTAAAATATTCTTACTTCATAAATTACTGCTCACATTTTCATTGAATTATCAACAAAAATGTCAATTTCGTTTCCCTTATGTTCATTAATTCATTTCTAAAAAGCCATAATTATCAGAAGTTTTCGAATGTCGTTACAGATCATCCAACTAACATTATGAACATACGTTTATAGAATTTATTTAAAAAATGAAAAATATAATAAATAGAATGAATAAACAAAAGAATCCCATGCTGAACAGAAAGATAGGCCAATGGTCATGACAACTAAACCATACCTGTACAACATCCATGCCTTTAACAACTCTTCCAAACACTGTGTGCTTGTTGTCCAGCCAAGGAGTGGCTACTGTTGTGATAAAAAACTGAGACCCATTTGTGTTTGGGCCTGCATTCGCCATTGAAACTGTGAAAGGCCGGTCATGCCGTAAACTGCAAAGAAATAAAGTGCCCAAACAATAAGGTTAATATGTGCAACCTGTAAGAAATAGCTCCAAACCTCACAAACCATACAAATTAAACAGTGAGAAGTCCCTAGTGGGATTGTATTAGTACTTCTCCTCCAACCAATAAACTAAAGAGGTATCACGAATGATAATTTCGTTCTCCGTTGCTTATCGATTGAAAATAGTACATATCGTTTTAAATTAAAGGGAAAATAAGTTATATGGCAGCTTTTGCAGGCATAGGAGATAATAGAGGGAGAATATGTTTTTTTCAAGAAGAATATACTCGATCTTAAGGATCGAAAATCACTGCCAGCAAATGCTGTTCAAATACATCATCATCGTAGCAGTACCGCCACCAGAAACTGCATTAAACCATTATAAGTAATCCGGACAAATGAAAATAATCCCCTGTAAATATTACCTTTTGTGAAATTCATCTTCAAACTCTCTTCCCCAAATAGACTGTCCACCGGTTCCATCTCCTAGAGGATCTCCTGTTTGTATCATGAAGCCTTTGATGACCCGATGAAAGATAAGATTATCATAATAGCCATTCCGGCAGTGTGTTGTAAAGTTCTCCACTGTTTTGGGACACTCCTCAGGATACAATCTCATATGGATGTCTCCCATCGTGGTATGCAATATCTGAGGAAGCATGAATTAGACAAATCAGTAGTCTCTTTATTAGAGAGAAAAAAGATAAAATCTTTTCTAACAGAAATAAACCAATAAAATAATACATAGATAAATGAATCAGTAATTAAAATGGGTTGGAAAACAGAACTTGGTATAAACATTGACAGTTGGATACCATGTATAGCTGTGTATACCAAAAGGTAAGAAGTCCACTTGCCTACTAAAAAAAAATCTACAACAATATATATATATATATATATATATATATATATATATAAGAGCTGAAATGGAGAAATTCTTATTTTGTTTTCATAACAATTACATTTATAAGAAAAACATAGTAGATAAGGAAATTGTAACGCCCCAAAACAGTAGTTGGACAAGTCCAATTGGTCACTGTTTCTACCTTTGTCGTACCGTAACTTTGTCTCGTGGCACATGTCCTAGGAAGGGCATCTCTTGTAGCAGTTTTGGCAACCTTAAGGGTGAATCAATTTTATGTCAAATTCTCTATAGCAAGTTTTGACCACAACAGATGTCCTTCCCAGGACACGTGCCAAGACACAGTTTCAAGAGACCCAAGAAGGGATAAATGAGAGTTTTGGCTACAATAGATTTCGTTACTAGAACAGGTAGTGTCAAGAGATAGGGTTTCAGGAAACCCTAGAAAGACAGAAGCAATGACTAATTGGCCTCGTCCAATTCTGGTAAGTAGTTTCCTAGGGCATTATAGAATTAAACAATGCCTTGTTCTAGAATCTTTTTGAACTGGGTTTAATTTTGCAACAAAAACACTTTGGAGCAGATAGAAAAGGAAGCGAATACTTACCACATTATCAGGAAGAGATGTTGTAACCGATTTGCCAATATCTGATACCGCCAACAATTCATCAGCAGGAGGTTTTTCATTAAATACATCTCTTCCCTTTGTTGCATCTTCCGGTTCCTCTGGCTCTCTTCGACTTCATAAAATAAAACAACTTTAGATCAAAAGAACAAAAGAACAGGAGAAATTTATACATAAATGTGTGCGTGTATGTATATATTTGTAAGAAAAACACACGTAACAATGAAAAATGTGGATACAAAGAGGGCATTTGTCATCAAAATAACATGAAAGACAGTATAGTTCAAAAATCTCCAAGGCCAAGTATACATCATAGTAAATTTTTCCCTTTTATATTTTTGAATTAGGAACTTATAAAATCATTGAAGAATGAAACATGAATAAAAGGTGGAAGGGTATGGTTTCGTTCTTAAGAAATAAAATAAACTAGAAGGTGGAAAGGAAGCCAAGATATCCTCCCAACCAACAGCTGATAAAAAAGAGAACACCAACACACAATTGATGTTAATCAAAATATGTGATCAACTATAAAAGAATTTATATAGAAACTCCAATGCTAACTATCTCCTAAAACTAACTAGTTCTCTTGTCAAATCCCTATAAATTCTCAAATTCCTTCCTAATCAAAATTTTAAAGGGCAGCCTTGTCAGCATTTTACCACAAGATCTTGGCTTCAGCACTGCATGAACCCATTTGAAGTCGATTAAAGAAATACAGAATAAAGGTAATTTATTCACAAATTCCGATACAATTTATTTTGTAATCACTCAACTTCCATTGTAAAAGTCGATTGAGGTTGTTTCCTAGAAAGCCCACTCATCTGTAGGAGTGAGGCAACATGTTCCCCCCCTCTCCCGTACTTCAACATTTGTTAAATCAACAATCCATCCAAATTCTTTAGTGGATGAGTCATGGTAAATTTAATTTAATTATATCAATACTTTAGCACTCTTCACTTGTGGGCATGGAAATTTGTAAAAGACTTAGAAATCAATATTAATTGGGGAGCAAATGGCATTAAAGGTGTGTATGGGAGTTCAAACAAAGTACCTCCTGCTCTGATACCACGTTAAATCATCAATTAATCCAAAAGCTCAAGCCGATGGGTTACCATAGATTGAATTATACCAATACTTTAACCAGACCTTCAACACATCAGATTGAATTATACCGATACTTTAACCAGACCTTCAACAAAATCAAAATAATAAACTGGAATGTTATCTCTAATCATTGATTGAGCCACATATCCCTCAATATTAAGACTATCATCCTTAGAGTGCATGCTTTCTTTTACCAAATATTCATTCAAGTCCTTGATAATTTGATATATCACATCGTTTGACATTTAAACCTACATGAATTGACTTATTTCTCTACTAGGAAGACAATTCAAGGTCTTACACGTGCCATATAGATTCATATTCTATTAGCTTTCTTTTGAAATGGAACACTGTTTTAACTTAGTGAAAAAGTACAACCAAATTTATCAACAGTCTCACCAATTGGAGCTCACAAATGCCATGATACTCGGCAAAATTTGAAACCATTTCCCAACCCATTAACTTTTCAGTTAAAAGCCTAAGGTTTCTTTCCAGCCATATTCCATCGCATTACACCCAATGTATTTGCCTCTTTTTAAGTCTGTGACTCACCACAATTGATTTATTATCCCTACCAGAGTTTTTTTTAGGAACAACTAAAAAATAGATGATGTAGAACTCTTGACTTTTCATACAACACACATCTTAAGATAACTTTCAACCACCATCAACAAATATGTAAACTGTGTCAGTATGGGTGCCGCAAGACCTGCTTCATGTCTTTCATGTTTGATTTGACAAATTAAGAATATGTTTGGTTTACAATGAAAATATTCCTTACCTTGACCTACTACTTTTCCATCAACATATTAGCTTGACCATGCTCTACAGTCTACATGTGGAACTTTTGTACAATTGAGTCTCTGTTCTCAATTAATCTACCTCGACATAATTTGGATCAAACTCGCACACCATGCTAGAGTGAGGTAACTAGCCTAACACCAGGCGAGGTATCAAAGGTCCACCCATTGTTTACACACTTCCAAAACAATATTCATCAATATCAATCATAAGTGCGAGGAGGTTTGGAGTCAAACACACTTCAATGCCTCGTGAACTTTTTCTTCCAGCTTTTAAGACATTTACTTTCCCTTGATTACCAACCATTCAAGGTTTCACTTAAACATTCCTTTTTGTTTTGTTCTCCTTTTAGTCTTACCTTCTTTTTAGCTTTACTTTTGCTTGATCTTTTTTCTTCTTTTTTTAATGAAATAGTTTCTTAAACCAAAAAAGAAAAGTAAAAAATAAATAATAAAAAAAAAGGGGAACTTCAACATGAATATGATGAGAATAATCTATTCATAACAAACTGAAAGTACTCGCAAAGGAATTTATGTATGCAGGCTGCACAGCAATGTCCCAGAAATTTACCTGAACAAATATATTCGATGTTTCTTGAAAGCACAACATAACAGAGTGGGATCTGTCAAAGGCTCCTTGCTCTCATTAGCATTTGCAGCAGCAGAGGGGATTTTTCTAACCTTTTTACTGCTTTTGTCACCCTGGTACAAGGCAATTCTCAAGAACCTGTCATTGTTCTCCACCTTCCCTAGGATCCGAGCAACTTTGTTGGTGTGCAAGTTTACTACCTAATATATATGCACGTGCATACACACAAGTTAGCGGTAAAATTTTAGAAGAAGAAATTGTGGTACTTTTTTAGGAGATTTAAATCTTTACATATTCATCCGTCCCCTATTGTCACTATTTGGATATGCACTTCACGGATTACGCCAGAAATTAGAAGTTCATTGAAGTTTTCATTTTTTGGTTGTCTCAGTCCTGTATTTGCTTAGTTATATAAGTTGCAGAAAATGATGGTTTCATCCCAACATGGATAGTCTATTGGTTGGTTAGTTGTTTCTAGCACAGTTCATCTCTTTATTTGGTTTGATTCCGCAAGAATTCAATTCTCATCAGGTTTTCTCTCTCCAGGCCCTTGTTGTTTTCTCCTTCTATGTTTTATATCTTATTTGGGACACGTTCTCATCATGGTTTTCTCTCGAGGCCCTTGTTGTTTTCTCCTTCTATGTTTTATGTCTTATTTGGGGTGCATTTTTATTAATGTTTTCTATATTCACTCCCTTGTGAAGTTAGCATCTTTTAAGCATTAGTCTCATTCATTTTATCAATGAAAAGTTTTGTTTCTTCTTCAAATTTGTCCTGTCATCAATAGAACTTGTATTTTGGCATAGTTGTTATAAAGTATTTAAACATTTCTTCTGCAGGCTTAATTGAGAAAGATAAACTGGTGGTAAAAAAAATTGCAGGCATCACTTTACCCAACATTAGCATCTTACTTTTATTCCAAGAAGAGTCGCATAAATAAGAAAATTAGAGCTCTCATCAAATACAGCGTTTGGTTCTGGAGCACTTTCTGCCTTCTCCATTTCCTTCTCAACGGCCATTCTCCTCCCAAAATCAATTGCTTCCAATCGGTATAACGGTGCATCACTTCTTTGCAGATCTTGGGCAAACTATTTAATGAAAGATAAAAAATAACATAAATGACCAACACCAATGTCACTACAAAAAGCTCACTGTAACATAACATTACCTCTAGAGATTCATCATAAACTCGCCTTAGTTTACCCGTGCGGTACCAAAATACACGTATTTTCCGATCAGGTGATGTAACTGAAAACTGTTTACCATCTGGGCTGACCTGAAGTACAATGAAAGAACGATTTCCTGATGATACCAACTTTAGTGTTATAGGCATTTATATGTACAGAGTAACACCTATATGTTACCTCTATAACAGAAACAGTTGTTTTGCATTTCACAATTTCGAAAAGATTGGTGTCACTTTTGAATTTGAAGTTGACACTGCAAAAGCCAGACAAAATACACATATACATGAATTAGGAAAGACAAAAGAAAACAAATGAAAATCTAGCAATGATAAAACAACTGTTAACTATCCTCCCGCCCAGTGGATTTTCCATTCAAATATTGAAAGGAGAGAGAGATTCTAGAATAATAACTAAAAAGAAGTGACATATTGTAACCATAAAAATTTTTAAAAAAATCCTATGACAATTTGGAATTATCTTTAAAAGTTTCTAATGGAAATTTAAATTCAAAATTAGAATATCCTATCCGGGAGTTGAAAATTGAATTTGAATTCTAATCAGATTAGGCCTTCAAAGTCTCTATAAACAGAACCTTTGGGATAACACCAAAACCATTTTATTCTCAACTAGAAAGAAGTTCTCTCTAAATTTCTTCCTTTCTAAGTAGTCTTGCACTTCTTACCGGGGGTGGTAGCTCTTTGCACAGAGATTACCTTGAATTTAACTCGAATCATCCCGCAATTCTTCTAACAACCGTTCGTCCATTGAATTGCCTACAATTTTAAGGGAGTTTAAGCCTAAATCCACCACAGAAATGCCACCACGCAAGCACAAACTCCAGCAGCCTGATCTACAAAGCCAAGTCCCAGCAAGCATAAAGGCCAATTTGGTCCACCCAGGCCCACGAATGCAGGCAGACAACATCCCAATCACAAGCCCACAAACTCTTGCCCATATCCACATGCACCTGCGCCGAGTCCAAGTCGTCGCCAGTCGATCTCCTGACATGCGGCGTGTCACAATCATACATTTTTAACTGTCTGGCATCATGATCTTGACACACTCATGACAAGCTATAAGGAGAACCCAAGCCCCATGTACATTTTTTGCCTAGCTTTGTGGCTTCATTGGACCTTAGGCTTGTCAACCAAACACAATTCATGCAGAATCTAAGCTTGTTATGTAATAGCCAAAGTCCACCATTAGCAGATATTGTCCTCTTTGGGCTTTCCCTTTCGGGCTTCTCCTCAAGGTTTTTAAAACACGTCTGCTAGGGAGAGGTTTCCACACCCTTAAAAAGAATGTTTTGTTCCCCTCTCCAACCGATGTGCGATCTCACAATCCGCCCCCGTCCGAAGCCAATGTCCTTGCTGGCACTCGCTCTCCTCTCCAATCGATGTGGGATCTTACATGTTCGGCAATACACGTCGCCCATGTGTGCATGTTCAATCTTGTGACTCTATCCAACTTGCCTCTACACGGGGTCAAGGTCTCTCACATGCAACGTCGCATCTCATCTTGTCATCTTGGTTCCCAATTAACACGGCAACATATCTTGATATCATTTCAAGTCCCAGGATGTCATCGGCCATCGAAGCTTACTTGAACATGTTCATCAAGAACGAACATCCATCCATCCAGGTTCTATCAAGGTATGGACCCTCCCGTGTCCATGCTAAAATCATTTATGGACTCCATACCAAATAGAGGATGCATATACCAAGCTCCGACACATGGGCGAGGGTGCAATGTCAACACACCCTTGTCGTTCGACATTGCCCTTGAAAGTCCCATTTCAAAGGAAGTCACCTGAGACACTCCTCGCGTGACGCTCACCCTCACTGTGACACACATATGTGCCACATGATAGCTCGCTTAGGTCATAGGACCCAGAGATGGTGAAGAGCTGACATCATGTGTCCCCCTATAGTACATTTTGAGGCATTTCTAATATTTCTAGAGTAGAAGTGATTTTGGCAAGCAGTCATACGGCCCTATGGAGAATTCGTCGGGTGTCCAATTGACACTAAATTTGGTGAGCTTTTATCTTTCATATAGACAAACTTAACTCCAGAGCCGCATACCGAAACCCATATCAAAACCTCGACTTCTGAGGTTATCCAACCTCTTTGAGCTTGTCTTCGACATTTGTTTTGCCTCCCTCTCTCCAACCTTGCTTATCCTCAACTTGTCTTTAATTAATGCACACTCTTCTTAGTGTGTTGGATGATGCACCATCCTCCTTGGTCGCATCATGGTACTTGTTTGTCTCGGCCCTCACATGGCCGGATGAGCGCCACTTGAGGGTCACCACCTTGTTAGAGTGCGTGTGGGGGTCACAACCTATTGTCTTAATAACATGGTTGTGCATGGCGCACAGTTGGCTACCTTTCGCAGATCTTCCTCCAATCGGCTCAGCCAACTTCCCTCAGCTCCAACTGTTTGTTTTTGGCTTGTATACCCATTTTGAACCCTCTTTGAAGGGTTCTTTTTTTTTTTTT